TATATATATTAACGTATAATAATTAATTCGCGCGGAAACATAAATCGATGACCAATAATCATAGTCGTTTTATTTACATCATTATATGTATATTATATAATATTAAGGCACTGGTGATTTTTATTTTATTCCTTTTTACCTCTAAAACATCCGCTATCTTTTAAAAAAGTATTAGTTTGGAGATTTTTTATATTACACAATTAAATAACATCATTCGCGCCGATTTAATTGAATGATAATACGATATCGCAATTGCAATCCGTTCAATTGTAAACAAACACGTTACACTATTTATATGTGCATTTTGTTCACACAGAGAATAAAAATGATTTTGCCAATCCGGACATGATCCGCAAAGCTGCGATTATTTGTCAGAATGATCTTAATTATTTGATTGAAATAAAAGGTGACGCGGTAATTGTGTAAAATTTACAACGCACATTCTACTAACAATAGGAATATTCTACTAACAATAAGACACATTCGTAGTGCAACATTTGTTTTTAACGTCTTATCTAATTATCGGTTTTTGATTCTAGTTTTGGGTAGCATCACACGAGATATAAAAAAGAAACTCTGAACACTCTAAAACCTTAATATTTCAAAAAACATCGCGTTTTTTTGTATGACGTTTCCAAAAACCTAACAGAGAAAGTATTATCTTCTATCAAACGATCATATTATTATGGAAAAATTAATTAACGCTGCTAATGATTAAAGCTCTTTAGAAATCGAAAGAATACGATTCAAATTATATTAGGGAAATTATAATAGAATAGATCTCCTTTCGTTTCGCAAATCAATTTTTTGTACGTCGTTTCCAAAAAACATTCCTTGCATAAAAATTATTACTGAACTAATAATATTAACTAATAAACAAATTAATAAAATTAATAAGTTTGTATATAATAATATAACACTAATCTAAATTAAATAAATACTATATATTTTACTAAAATTAATATAAACTTACTGCTAAAATACTCAATATTAAACCCAAAAACTAATTCTGATTCCCCTTCAATAAAATCTATGGGAGTACAATTTAATTCAACTAAAATCGTAAATCCATCGCGTAGCACGCGTTTTTAATGTTCTAGTAAACAATATATAAAACACAAATTGTTTTTATAAATTTCTAGGTATATATATATATGATATAACATTTACGTCTTGCAAATTTTTCATAATGTATATTTATGCGAAAAGATCAATCCATATAAAACACGTCAAAAATAAAAAGTGCATATATGCTATCTCTCTCTTTTACATTATATAATTATAAATACATAATTGCTCGATTGTATATGCATATAGAGTTACTTCATTGCATCTAACATACATAAGTACAAATTTATTCGAATACTTTTAAGTAATAAGTAAATCGATGAAAAAGTGACTAAAACACATTTTCAAAATGCAGATTATTTATTTATTAAATCTTGAATTTTACATACATAATATAATAAAATTTTAAAAAGCTTAAGTTATACATGCATTGTGTGATATAAATTTTCAATAAACATAAGAATGTAATAGAATTTATAATTCATCTCTAATAAGATTTGGATACCGGACGAAGTCCGGTCTAGCCACGAATCCACTAAATACTAATTGTCCGTTTACTTCGATTTCGTAGATAAACGGATAATTTACGATTAACTCGTGCGGCAGATTTCTTTTTTCTATCCTTCTGAAAGCTGTAATGAAAAATTTTTCATTGTAATGCTTACACACACAGTATTCGCTTAAAGTTTTCTATTATTCACAAATGGATAGTTACTAGGGAGACTTCCTTTCTTAACCTTCAGGGAAATCTTTTGAACAATATTGTTTACTTTTAGAGGAGTTTTTGAGAGATGTGTAAAATCAGCATTATCCTCGAACATCGTAATTACGTCCCTCTACAAGCAGTTATCAGTTATAGTTTCTAGAATTTATCTAAAATCTTTTTTATATATCAGTTGTAAACAGATTTTGCTAATTACACAATACTTACCTCACGAAAAAAATCTGTCAAATTTCGAGTCATTTCAGTCCTAAACTTAGGTAAATATAATTCCATATCTTGCTTTTTGTTAATGTATGCAGTTCTAATTGATTGATATTCTTCATAGACAAAGTTTTTTTCTATCCACCCAGGTTTCATCCCTTCAGTTGGCAACAATATAGTCATTGTAACGTTATCATCCTGTAAAATTATATTTTGATTCAATATTTAATTCTTGATATTCTGTAAGATTACATTTTGATTTAATATTTTATTTTTGGAAGTTTTCTTATAAATAGTAATTATTTACCAAAAATGGAACTTCAATGAACTTTATATGCCAATGTGGTATTTCACCATAAATAAATGTAGAGTTTTTAAATTTAATTGTTGAAACAAAATGCCTTTCTACTTGAGAAAAATGAAATATGCGTTCCTCTCTTTGAATTGAGTCTGGCCATCTACTATTAAGGTAAACAATATTTACCAACATAATTTTTGTATCTCCGTCGATATTAACTGTTCATAAGATATTATATTGTTGAAAATGTGCTCTACATAAACTATAATTTATTTATATTTAATTGTCAAATATTTATACAATATACCTGGAGAAATTACGTCTAATATTTTATTATTTGTTGTTTCTTGGACCCATGAATTTATAGTTTCTGCAGCATATATGTTATTTCTGAAATCTATTTTTGAAATTGAACAATTAAATTTACTTATGCATATTGATGAAAAATCGGCCGTTAACTCAATTGAATTTTGAACATATACTGCAGTTTCTAGATGCAATGCGATGTTTCTCAGATTCTAAAACACATATAAATATGTCATTATTTGGAATAATTTTGTTATAAAGTATTAAAATTCGTTCTCCATCTTACATCTAAGTAAGAAACTTCTGGTAAGTATCTGTTGCTTAAAGGTATTTTATTATAATTATTAAAAAAAGACATCAATTCATTCTCTGTCGATCCTTTAGCGCCATTTAAAAGTAAGGACGCTACCATGTCTATACTCGTAGGACTAAATAGTTGGTTTTTCATTTTTTCTATCGATTGATTCTTGTTGGCAAAACATAAATTAAAAATTAGGCAACTCAAAACTTATATAAGATACAAATACATCAATTACATACTATATACGATGGTTCTTTGAAACTAAATATATCCTTTAATTCTACATATGTTACAATTGCTGTAGATAGATTTGCAAATCTGTTTTTAAAAATCTCGCTGTCGGATGATATATGTTCAAAATCTTCAAAAGGATCGAAGGCACACACAATGTTAACGATGATGATCGCAAATAACGCTGTAAGAAATATATTCGTTCAAAAATCAGGAAGCAGCGGTTATTTCAGAATATACTAATAATAATTTATAGTTAAGCTACTGAAATTTATATATAATTATGTATATAAATATATGTATATTATTATTATTATTATAAACATCATTTAATAGCGATATATTATTACCTGTACGCATTGTGACCATATTCCAATTCTATGATATATGTATAAAAAATATATATCAATATCGACTAAATTAAAGGATAAGTTATTAAATTTAATATACGTGTTACATGTATGTATATAGTTTTTTCTGTTCTTTTCTATATTTTTTTCTTATGTACCAGGAATCAACCGTTATTTGAAATGACTAACTAACATTCTTCGATAAAGCTTCAAAATTCAGAAATTTAGAACTGACAAATTATTTGGTTCAATTTAAATCGAAAATTCTCTTCTATTAACATCGATCAGATACTAGCTGCGTTGTATTTGCGCCAACTATTAAAAAATAACTGCGAAGAAAGAACACATTATTTTGGAATAAAATTCAAGTTAGTCTCATGTGATTTTATAGACGGTCTCAACTTACGTCAACAACGTCGACTTCTAATTTTAGGAAAATTTTCCGTATGAGATCTTCAATGGCATTTCTGTTGCAATGATCAGGAATAATTAATACTACTGATGACAGCACACGACTGCTTAATACATATCTGCTGTCTGCCTGTGTCTTTGTAACAGTCGTTAGCAGTATTATTGTTTGTCGTTTGGGTGTCGTGTAGAGGTGACTGGGATTGAGAAAGGTAAACGAAAGAAATAGAGGCTACGATCGGGAAGACGCGCTACAGATCGATGATCGATATTTCGAGACATTGCATTAACCAATCAGAATAAAAAAATCTTTAATCTTTATATCCTGATTGGTCAATCAAACTCTTTGAAGCATCTTTAACGTCTTCCCGACTGCAGCCAGAGTTGATAAATCTTTTTTTTTTTTTTTTTTTTGTTATTCTCCTCGAAATGTACGCTTTACCACATATGTGTCTTAATATAGCTTTCTCAATTTAAATTTTATTTTTAACAAAGATCTTATATCAGTTCATTACTTGAATGATAAATATTTTTGAAATTTTTTGTAATCTACAAATCATATATACATATAAATGCTGTGAAATAATTTTTCGATTGCTGCATGTTTATATATTTTTTAAGATAAGAAAAATTTTTTTTATATAAAATTATAAATTATATGTTTACAGTGATAGAAAATAGCCGAAGAGGATTTGTAATAAACAATTTCATATATGAAATATATGATTATATAATACCGCGATGTAGTTCGATGTTCTGTACCCACAGTTATAACATATTTAAAATGTAAAAGATGAAAGAAGTTAAAGAGAAAAAAACTGCGGCGGAATATATTCGCCTGATATGCACATTGATGCCATATTTCTTCGATATTGGATTAAATATAAAATTTGAATGGATGCTTGAAAAATTTATTAATGTAAATGTATATGTTTTGAGACAACATATTATAAATTATAATTATATCAGTTAAAATACACTATGATATTAAAAAATTTGATATGATAATCAGCAAGCGAATGGAATGAAATTGTACAAAATTTTATGCCGGTATAATTAACTCGACGCTTTGTCCATCTTCAGAAAAAACGAATTTAGAATCTTTATAACGCAAAAGATTCGCAGATCTTTGAACTGACCATATATTATAACCGAGTTTATAAAAAATTATATACAAAAATCTCGGAAATTTATAAAGTTTTATATAAAAATGTTTTATATTATCTTCAATTCAAGCATTATAATTGCACAATTTACGACTTAAATGGTGTATACAACACACATTGCAGCAATCTTGTTGCAATGTTCTGTATTGGATATATATCCAAAATTGCTCATCGTGTTATTTTAGATAGTTATAATAAATAAATTTTCATACCTGCATATGAAACATGGGGAATGGCACAACGACCATAGGTATACCGACAATGCACATCGAAGGATGCTCGATGTTGATGAGATGTTTGTAAAGTGGCATTACATAATTATTGTCAATTCGTATACCACAATTTTCGTCCAAAAAAGGAAAGTTGTATTTATATCCAGTACAAAAAATAAGAATGTTAATATCATTCACAGTGGTCCCGTCTCTGAGATGGAATGTAGTTTCATGTATACTTTGCACACCAGCTACTTGTATCATATTCGATGGTAAAGGACTTGTTAATCTGCAAGAAAAAAAGAGAGAATATATCAAATAAATCTTAAACTGTTTTTTTTTGTCTAGATCTGTATCTAAAATTGAGAATATTAAAAGGTCTTAGTTATTTTTGGATAATATTTTTAATCGCTCACCTATCATGATTGTGGCTTAAGTACACGCAAGCAGCGTAATCGGATAACTCGATTGCTATATCAATACCAGATGAAGCTGCACCTAATACTAATACTTTTTTTCCGACAAATTTATTCGGCTTTCTATATGCATGACTGTGCAGTATTAAACCCGGAAAACTCTCGATACCGGGTATATTCGGTATATAAGGATCGAAATAGTGTCTAAAAAAGATTGAAAAAATATTTGTCTAGTGACACAAAATCATACTCAATAAAACGTGCAATAGTGCGACTCGATTTACCCGTTACAAATCATAATTGCATCAAAGTACTGGAGTTCTGTTTCGTTTGTCTTTAATTTTTTCACTTGCACAGACCACTTTTCTTTATTATTATCTTCGGATAGTTCAAGTTGAACGTGTTCAACTCTTGTATTAAACTAAAAAAAAATTAATTAATTTTTAGATAAGCAACTAGCTCTTCTCCATTATTTTCGATATCAAAATATAATTACGTGAATATGTCGACATATATCAAAGTGTTGGGCATAATCTCTCAAATATTTTAAAACCTCCTGATGACTCACGCAGCAAGGTTCTTGCGCTTCCATTGTAATATAATCCGGAAAATTCATAATTTTTGCAGGTAAATTTGTTCTTAAAAAATAGAGAAAAAACACTTTAGTTAATTTTATATTTATCAGCAAAACAGTCATTTCAGAATATAGAAAAAAAATATCTTACTTTTATTATATTTAAAATTTTCTTTTTTTTATTTCTATTTTACTATTATATACTATTATATTTTACTATTATATTTTACTATTTGTGTATAGTTATTTAGAAACAAAATATTTTAGTCTATATTTATTAAAATATTTAATAAATTAGTGATACAAGAATTTCTAATTTATAAATTACACAATATAAGTGATTCTTTTACACAATGTAAAAGAATCTTTTGTAATAAAATCTTTTTGAGAATAAGAGCAAACCTTAGATTTTGGTACATGCTAGAGTGAATCGATAAGCCATTCTCATCAAAACCGGTTTGCTCTTTGTAAACCCATGTACCTCCTATTTCATTCGTTTGCTCGTAGATTGTTGTTTCGAATTTTGCATTTTCCGCCAAATGTCTGACTGCGCACAAACCAGCTGCGCCAGCACCGATCACACATATCTTGATTTTTTTTTCTTCATTCGCCATTTGTACGTTTTACTTTATGATGATTAATGGAAAATTTTGATCATTTGTTTTTCTACGTTCCGAATGAAAGATTCGACAAATATTTGTGTTATTCTTTAAAGATTTAAAGACCTGAACTAATATCAAAAGATATAAGGATGATTTTGATTTGACACACTTTCACTGCGCGATTCGTCGGTTATACAGCGCACGTTTCTAGCGAGTAAACGATACTGACAATGAGAGTCTATATGTACGATGCGATACGATTATATAATACATTAGAAGGATTGGTCGTCTATAGCTCTATAGATAAAACAGAGAGAATGAGAATATTGAAATATTCTCGTTCAATTTAAAAATAATACATCTCAAAATTAGTATTTAAATTTGTACATCGTACTGATGATGAATTATTTTTAAAGTAGTAAAGATTCATAATAAACTACGTCTTTTTATAACGCTTTTATCCTTTTTATATATTTTACGAGAATTTGCACAAAACGGAAAATAAAAAACCACGAAAGATAGAGAAAACATCATTGCGGTTACTCTTTAGATTTCTAACCATATATTATTCGTTTACTATCGCGGTTCGATAACGCGGTAGATAGGTATAGTCGTTCAAATACCATGTGATTGTTATGTTACTCTGATTTTCTTACGATAGGAATTTATCATCGCAGCCACATGCTCGCGAGGTCAAACGAAATCACGCGGTAAAGTAATGTTATCCAACGATTTGTTAAAACTAATGTATCTCAAGATTTTTATATTTTTGACAGAAAAGTGCTAAACTTTCATTAAAAAAATCATTTTTTAACCAAATTTATTATCTTACACTTATAAAAACTAAAGAAAGAAAAAAATTTTATTCTTTTGATATTTATAAAAATAAATTGTGTAACATATTATCATATATTTAAAATACACATTATACATTTCAACAAATTAGTCACAACATTTTTAAGATATGAGCAAATACTTATTTTGATTTCCAGATAGTAAATAGAATCAATAGATTTGAAGATAATTCGGAAGAATTAATATGACCGCTCTTTGGTGTCTAGATATAGTAATAAAATAAAAAATAAAAAATCGATTCAATTGTACATATCTTTTTTTCGTTAAATTTCTTTATTATAAAGAACATTGCCACAAATTATATTATATTATATTTTTTTCAATAGCAGACTAAATATCTTTAAACATTTAAACATTTTTCAACATTGTTTTATTTATAATATAACACATAATCAACATCACGGAGGCGTCATTAATAAATTATATAACGCATTTCTTATATATTAATTTACATAATTACAAGAAGACCGTTATATACAATATACAAATGTGTTAATCTAGAATATACAATATTCTTTTAAACAATAAATAACTTTTAATCATAGAATTTGGTTTACATATTAATTGTTATTAAATAACAATCGATATTAATTGCTAATGTTAATTGCTTTATTATAGTTCGATGTTCTATACCCACAGTTATAAAATATTTAAAATGTAAAAGATGAAAGTAATTAAAGAAAAAAAAACTGCGGCGGAATATATTCGCCTGTTATGCACATTGATGCCATATTTCTTCGATATTGGATTAAATATAAAATTTGAATGGATGCTTGAAAAATTTATTAATGTATATGTTTTAAAACAACATATTATAAAATATAATTATATCAGTTAAAATACATTATGATATTTAAAAATTTAATATGATTATCAGCAAGCGAATGGAATGAAATTGTACAAGATTTTATGCTGGTATAATTAACTCGACGCTTTGTCCATCTTCAGAAAAAACGAATCTAGAATCTTTATAATGCAAAAGATTCGCAGATCTTTGAACTGATACATATATTATTGCAACATGTATTATAACCGAGTTTGTAAAATAATGGTAACCGATTGAATCCACCAGCGATCGCCAATGAATCATTGTAATCCCATTGGCGATCCATCAGTTTATGCGCGTGTCTTTTTTTCGGTGTTATTAAAATCGAATCTTCCAACATCACAGATTTTGTAGGTAAAGTTACTCGACCTTCTAGTAAAGCCAAGAAATATTGCACCTGAAAAATAAAAATTTGGAAAACATTTATTGCGCATACAAGTATGTATAATTTAATGAAATTGGATGATCATAACACAATTAATAAAATAAATTGCATTTTTGCAAATATTTTTATTTTTATAATTCATTGTGTATTATTGTAATTTAGAACTAAAATTAAATAATACAGTTTTAAATGTATACATAAGAGAACTCTTATTAAAAGAGATAAAGAAAGAATATCATTAAAATAATATACTCTCATATAAAAAATTATATACAAAAATCTCGGAAATTTATAAAGTTTTATATAAAAATGTTTTATATTATCTTTAGCCCAAGCATTATAATTGCACAATTTACGATTTAAATGGTGTATACAACACACATTGCAGCAATGTTGTTGCAATATTCTGTACTGGGTAGTTATATATCCAAAATTATTCATTGTGTTATTTTAGATAGTTATGATAGATAAATTTTCATACCTGCATATGAAACATGGGGAATGGCACAACGACCATAGGTATACCGACAATGCACATCGAAGGATGCTCGATGCTGATGAGATGTTTGTAAAGTGGCGTTACATAATTATTGTCAATTCGTATACCACAATTTTTGTCCAAAAAAGGAAAGTTGTATTTATATCCAGTACAAAAAATAAGAATGTTAATATCATTCACAGTGGTCCCGTCTCTGAGATGGAATGTAGTTTCATGTATACTTTGCACACCAGCTACTTGTATCATATTTGATGGTAAAGGACTTGATAATCTGCAAGAAAAAAGAGAGAATATATCAAATAAATCTTATGCTGATTTTTTTGTCTAGATCTGTATCTAAAATTGAGAATATTAAAAGGTCTTATGTTAGTTATTTTTGAATAATATTTTTAATCGCTCACCTATCATGATTGTGGCTTAAGTACACGCAAGCAGCGTAATCGGATAACTCGATTGCTATATCAATACCAGATGAAGCTGCACCTAATACTAATACTTTTTTTCCGACAAATTTATTCGGCTTTCTATATGCATGACTGTGCAGTATTAAACCCGGAAAACTCTCGATACCGGGTATATTCGGTATATAAGGATCGAAATAGTGTCTAAAAAAGATTGAAAAAATATTTGTCCAGTGACATAAAATCATACTCAATAAAACGTGCATAAATAGTGCGACTCGATTTACCCGTTACAAATCATAATTGCATCAAAGTACTGGAGTTCTGTTTCGTTTGTCTTTAATTTCTTCACTTGCACAGACCACTTTTCTTTATTATTATATTTGGATAGTTCAAGTTGAACGTGTTCAACTCTTGTATTAAACTAAAAAAAATAAATTTTTTAAAAAGCAATCAGCTCTTCTTAATTATTTTCGATATTTAAATTTCATATTAAAATATAATTACGTGAATATGTCGACATATGTCAAAGTGCTGGGCATAGTCTCTCAAATATTTTAAAATCTCCTGATGACTCACATAGCAAGGTTCTTGCGCTTCCATTGTAATATAATCCGGAAAATTCATAATTTTTGCAGGTAAATTTGTTCTTAAAAGATAGAGAAGAACCATTTTACTTAAAAATTTTATATTTATTAGCAAAACAGTGTCATTTCAGAATATAGAAAAAAAAATATCCTGCTTTTATTATATCTAAAATTTTTTTTTTTTAATTTTTATTTTACTATTTGTGTATAGTTATTTAAAAATAAAGTATTTAATAAATTATTGATACAAGAATTTCTAATTTAAATTATACAATATAAGTGATTCTTTTACATTTTACACAATGTAAAAGAATCTTTTGTAATAAAATCTTTTTGAGAATAAGAACAAACCTTAGATTCTGGTACATGCTGGAGTGAATCGGTAAGCCATTTTCATCAAAACCGGTTTGCTCCTTGTAAACCCATGTACCTCCTATTTCATTCGTTTGCTCATAGATTGCTGTTTCGAATTTCGCATTTTCCGTCAAATGTCTGACTGCGCACAAACCAGCTGCGCCAGCACCGATCACACATACCTTGATTTTTTTTTCTTCATGCGCCATTTGTACGTTTTACTCTATAATGATTAATGGAAAATTTTGATCATTTGTTTTTCTACGTCCCGAATGAAAGATTCGGCAGATATTTGTGTTATTTTTTAAAGATTTGAAGACATGAACTAATATCAAAAAATATAAAGATGATTTTGATTTGACTTTCACTGCGCGATTCGTCGGTTATACAGCGCATGTTTCTAGCGAGTAAACGATACTGACAATGAGAGTCTATATGTACGATGCGATACGATTATATAATACATTAGAAGGATTGGTCGTCTATAGCTCTATAGATAAAACAGAGAGAATGAGAATATTGAAATATTCTCGTTCAATTTAAAAATAATACATCTCAAAATTAGTATTTAAATTTGTACATCGTACTGATGATTAATTATTTTTAAAGTAGCAAAGATTCATAATAAACTACGTTTTTTTATAACGCTTTTATCCTTTTTGTATATTTTACGAGAATTTGCACAAAACGGAAAATAAAAAACCACGAAAGATAGAGAAAACATCATTGCGGTTACTCTTCAGATTTCTAACCATGTATTATTCACCTACTATCGCGGTTAGATAACGCGGTAGATAGGTATAGTCGTTCAAATACCATGTGATTGATATGTTACTCTGATTTTCTTACGATAAGAATTTATCATCGCAGCCACATGCTCGCGAAGTCAAACAAAATCACGCGGTAAAGCAATGTTATTCAACGATTTGTTAAAACTAATGTGTCTCAAGACTTTTATATTTTTGACAGAAAAGTGCTAAACTTTCATTGAAAAAATCATTTTTTAACCAAATTTATTATCTTACACTTATAAAAACTAAAGAAAGAAAAAAATTTTATTCTTTTGATATTTATAAAAATAAATTGTGTAACATATTATCATATATTTAAAATACTCATTATACATTTCAACAATTTAGTCGCAACATTTTTTTCGATATGAGCAAATACTTATTTTGATTTCCAGATAGTAAATAGAATCAATAGATTTGAAGATAATTCGGAAGAATTAATATGACCGCTCTTTGGTGTCTAGATATAGTAATAAAATAAAAAATAAAAAATCGATTCAATTGTACATAGTTTTTTTCGTTAAATTTCTTTATTATAAAGAACATTGCCACAAATCATATTACATTATATTTTTTTCAATAGCAGACTAAATATCTTCAAACATTTAAACATTTTTCAACATTGTTTTATTTATAATATAACACATAATCAACATCACGGAGGCGTCATTAATAAATTATATAACGCATTTCTTATATATTAATTTACATAATTACAAGAAGACCGTTATATACAATATACAAATGTGTTAATCTAGAATATGCAATATTCTTTTAAACAATAAATAACTTTTAATCATAGAATGTGGTCTATATATTAATTGTTATTAAATAACAATCGATATTAATTGCTAATGTTAATTGCTTTATTAATGTTTTCTTCAAAGAAACTTCTTTCTTAGAAAAGTTCAATATATTATACAATAATGACCAATCAACCAGCAGTTCAATTCCTCACTAGTTTCAGGAAATGAAGTCTTCGCTTCATAAACTTATTCGCATTTTATCAAACATAAATGATTTATTTTTTAATAATTGATATCTTAGCATTTTTTCTTGATTTATAAAATTGTTGATTTAATTATTGTAAAATATCTTATTATCGTCTAAACTCCTATATGCGCATCATATTGCTATCTTTATGTTATTCTTGTTATATACAATCTTATTTTCAGTAACAGTCATTTTAGCACATTTTCAAAATACAGATAATTTATTTATTAATGCTTGAATTTTATAAACATAGTATGATAAAATTTTGAAAAGTTTAAACTATATATACATTATAAAATATAAACTATCAATAAACATCAGAATGTAATAGAATTTATAATTCATCTTTCATAAACATAAAGTCTGGTGTTTGCACGGTTCCAAAAAACATCATCTCTCCGTATACTTCGATTATGTACAAAAACGGACGATCTACGATCAACTCCCACGGCGTACCTACTGGTTTCCTTACTGTATTTTTTTTAATAACTGTAATTAAATATTTTTTATTGTAATGCTTATACACACAGTATTCCTAAAGTTTTCTATTATTTACAGATGTATACCATATGGAGCATCCGAACTTCCTTTGTTAATCTTCATAGAAATCGTTTGAAAGATATTGTTCACTTTTAGAGGAATTTTTGAGAGACGTGTGAAATCTGCATTATCTTCGAACATCGTAATTACGCCCTTCTACAAGCAGTTATCAGTTTTAATTTTTAGAATTTATATCCAACATCTCTCTTACGTATCAGTTGCATAAACAAATTTTACTAATTATAATATTTACCTGACGAAAAAAATCTGTTATATTTCGAGTATATTCACTCGTAAACTTAGGTAAATATAATACCGTAGCTTGCTCAAATGTGTATGTAGTTCTAAATAATTGAAATTCTGCAAAGTTAAATTTTTTTTTCAGGTACCCCAGGTTCCCAGGTTCCACCTCTTCATTTGGCAACAATATAGTCATTGTAACAGAGCTATCCTGTAAAATTATATTTTTATTAAATATTTGATTCTTTATATCCTATACGATAATTTTTTGATTCAATATTTTATTTTTGGGAATTTCCTTATAAATAATAATTATTTACCAAAAATGGAATTTCAATGAACTTAGCATTCCAATGTAGTATTTCACCATGAAAAAATGTCGATTTTTTAAATTTAATTGTTGGAACAAGATATGATTCTGATGGAGAAACATGAAATTTGCGTTCCTCTGTTTTTCCTTTATAAGTTAAGTCTAGCCATCTACTATTAAGATAAGCAGTATTTACCAACATAATTTTTGTGTCTTCGTCGATATTAACTGTCCATATAAAGTATTTTGTTGTTAAAAATGTGCTTTGCATAAACTATAATTTATTTATATTTATTTGTCAAATATTTATACAATATACCTGGAGAAATTACGTCTAATATCTTATTATTTGTTGTTTCTTGGATCCATGAATTTATAGTTTCTGCAGCATGTACTTTATTTCTGAAATCTATTTTTGAAATCGAACAATAAAAGTTATCTATGCAAATTGATGAGAAGTCATTATTATTATTCATATTTTCATATTTTAATATCGGTATATTATTACCTGTACGCATTGTGACCATATTGCAATTCTATGATATATGTATAAAAAATATATATCAATATATCAATATATCAATATGAAAATTCAGAAATTTAAAACTGACAAATTATTCGGTTAATTTAAATAAAAAACTTTCTTCTTTTAACATCGATTTTGTCAAATATTTATACAATATACCTGGAGAAATTACGTCTAATATCTTATTATTTGTTGTTTCTTGGATCCATGAATTTATAGTTTCTGCAGCATGTACTTTATTTCTGAAATCTATTTTTGAAATCGAACAATAAAAGTTATCTATGCAAATTGATGAGAAGTCGGCCGTTAGCTCAATTGAATTTTGAACATACACTGCAGTTTTTAGATGCAATTCGATGTTATTGTATACATTCTAAAACACATAAATATGTCATTATTCGAAATAATTTTGTACTATAGTAGATTTGTTCTTCATTTTACATTTGAATAAGTTAATTCAGATAAGTATCTGTTGTTTAAAGATATTTTATCAGTAATTTTCAAAAAAGACATCAATTCACTCTCTGTCGATCCTTCTTTAACGCCATTTAAAAGTAAGGACATTATCATATTTATTTTTGTAGTGTATACTTTGTTTTCCATGTCATCTTTATTTATCCATTGATTCTGTGGCAAAACATAAATTAGAAATTAGATAACTCAACTTATGTAAAATACAAATTTACTAAAGTAAAATAAAAATACAGATTACATACTATATACGATGGTTCTTTGAGACTAGATACATCCTTTAATTCTACATATGTTATAATCGCTGTAGATAGATTTGCAAATATCTTTTTTGCAAAAGTCTTGCTACTGAACATATCTTTAAAAGGATCGGAGGCATACACAATGTTAATGATGATGATCGCAAATAACGCTGTAAGAAATATATTCGTTAAAAAATCAGGAAGAAGCGTTTATTTCAGAATATACTAATAATAATTTATAGCTAAGCTAAAACTTTCTTCTTTTAACATCGATTAGATACTAGCTGCGTTGTATTTGCGCCAACTATTAAAAAATAACTGCAGAGAAAGAACACATTATTTTGGAATAAAATTTAAGTTAGTCTGATGTGATTTTATAGACGGTCTCAATTTAGTTTAACAACATTCATTTACGAACCTTAGAAAAAATTTTTGTGTGAGATCTTCAATGGCACTTTTGTTGCAATGATTAGGAATAATTAATACTACCGATGATAGCACACGACTGCTTAATACGTATTTGCTGTTTGTATGCGGCTCTATAACTTTCTTTAGCAGTGTTGTCGTCTACGGTGTCGTGTAGAGGTGACTGGAATTAAAAAGAGAGAAAGAGAGAAATAGAGTTAAAAACATTTTCTTTGTTAATCTTCTCGAAACTCACGCTTTACCACATGTATGTGTCTTATAATATCCTAATTTAAATTTCATTTTATTAACAGAAGAGCCTTATTAATCTTTTACTTAAATGAAAATTTTTTTAAAAATTTTTTGTGATCTACAAATCATACATATAAGACAAAAGTTTTATTCTTTTGATATTTACGAAAATACATTGTATAACATATTATCATATACTTAAAATACACATTATACATTTCAACAAATAACAAATTAATCGCAACAATGTATTTTTTTCAATAGCAAATATACTCATTTTGATTTCCAAATCATAGCAAATAGAATCAATGGATTCGAAGATAATTCGGAAGAATTAATATGACCAATCGTCGGTATCTATACGATATAACAATAAAATGCAAAGTTGAATTAGTTGTACGCATTTTTTTAAATTCCGCTAAATTTCTTTATTATAAAAAACATTGCCACAAATTATATTATATTAATTTTTTTTTAATAGTAGATAAGAAACTTAATATCTTCTAACATTCAAACATTTTTCAATATTGTTTTATTTATAACATAATACATAATCAACATCACGGGGACGTCATTAATAAATTATAACACTTCTTACATATTATAAATTATAACATTTCTTATATGTTAATTTAATTAATTACTAGAAGACTGTAATATAAATACAAATATATTAATCTAGAATATACAATATTCTTATTTAAGTAATAAATAACTTTTAATCATAGAATTTGGTCTACATATTAATTGTTACTAAATAACAATCGATATATAATATTAATTGCCTCATTAATCTTTTCTTCGAAGAAACTTCTTTCTCAGAAAGATTCAATTTATTATACAATAATGATCAACTGACCAGCAGTTTAATCCATACTTGTTTCGAAAAATAAAGTCGTTGCTTATTCGCATTTTATCAATCATAAATGATTTATTTCTTAATAATTGGCATCTTAGCATTTTTTCTTGATTTATAAAAAATATATAATTTAAAGTTAATATAATTTTCATAAAATATCATATTATCGTTTAAACTCTCCTATATGCGCGTTATATTGCTATCTTTATGTTGTTCTTGTAATATACAATTTTATTTTCAATAACAGACATTATCACACCGTGGCGCATAATCATGTAATTGATTATATATTATTAACTAAATTTTCACAAAATATACTGTTACTATTAAAAGAATTATCTTCTATTCTTTATGTTTTTGCTGTTATAGATAACTTGTTCTTCAGCAAAGATACTATCATTTCGAATGATTAAAAGTGACAATATCATTAACTAACTTCTCATATCATATAATATTGTCCAAAAAATCTTTACAGTGTTTTTCTTTCTTCATTTTTATACTATGGAGAATTTGCTCCTCAAGAATAATGACATCATTAGATATTCTAGATAATTGTAATCTTTAATAAATTACTTACGCATTGGAATTAAAAAAACAGCTTTTCAATCTCGTCAATATTTTAGATCAACATTCTGTTGTTCTTTTTCTTCGTTTTTCAACAATTATAGGAGATTTCTTTGAGTCATTAATATTACTAAACAATTTTCTCGATAATGTATTTGAACATTTACATTTCTGTTTTATTTTATGATTGTCTTGCATCCCGAATATTATTATCTAGAATAATTTCTTAAATAATCTGATCTTTAGCAGGCTTTTTTGAATTATCTACATAACTAATTACATTTTTTGCATCAGATAACTTTATGACGAATTGCTATTCTCTCTCTCCATATTTTTATTAATTTTTTTTAAGTTTTTCGCAAACAAGCAAGACTCCCTACAGCTGCTATCAGGACTTCCTTCGCAAAAACCTGATTCAAACGAGAGATCGGAAACTGGAGAAATCTTTATGACGAATTGCTATTCTCTCTCTCCATATTTTTATTAATTTTTTTTAAGTTTTTCGCAAACAAGCAAGACTCCCTACAGCTGAGTATCAGGACTTCCTTCGCAAAAACCTGATTCAAACGAGAGATTGGAAGCTGGAGAAATTGGCAAGCAAACATCATTAGAATCAAGTTCATATTGTATCGCTATTTTAGCAGGACGATGCGATGAAGATCTCATTGTCTTTTCGTTCTCAATACTAATGTTATCATTGCCATTTCCTCGTCTAAATCGTAAATCGTAATCCAATCTCTGACGACAAATTAGACTGTCATTTGAACGATTTAAGGATACTGTAGGATACTTTGTGATTTTGTTCAAAAATGTTCTATCTTCCTCCATTATTGTGACATTCTTCGTGTTATTAATTGCGTTTTCTGTGGATTCCCTAAAGGATCTTCTATCATTTATTGTGAAAGAATCATCAATTAAACTTTTATCAATCTCTTTTGGAGATTTTTGTTTCCCGTTATAAGAAATATTTTTCTTCATTTTTTGATCATGATCTACCAATGTGATTAACTGACATCTTCTATTGTGCATTCTTTCAGGTTTGTATAGAGTATAATTAATCTGATGGCTGCTATTTTTGCGGCTTTCATTTTTTTTTATGGGAGCAAGCTCTTCTTTTTCATGGATCTGGTGAGTATTTTCAAGGATGTCATCCTTTCTTTCGCTCGATCTGACTAGTTTCTTTTCTAAGACTCTTTCTGTCTCCTTGATCTTTTGACTGTTTTTCAGAATATCAGTATTTTTATCATTCAATCTAATCAGGGTGTTTTCTAAAAAATCTACTTCTCTCTTTTTAGAGATAATTTCTTGATTATTCTTCAGCAGTCTTACTTTTTCTTTATTCAATCCGATCATATTCTTCTTTAAAAAATCTTTTTTCTCTTCAAAAACTATCTTCTTCAATCTGTTTATTGTTTCCGGCATTTGCTGAAGTTCTACATTTTCTATGATCTGAATGGCGTTAGGATTGAAATCGAATACTTTGGCTTGATCAATGCCTTCGCTTTGAGAATTGTGTAAAGTACAATTTGAATATCTACAGGTATATCTCCAAGGATACTCCTTTTCTACTCTATTGTAGCTGTTAAGGCAATCCAAAGGCGTGAAAGATGGTAAATGTTGCTGATCAGTCAAGTGACAATTGCAGCAATATTGTTTCCTCATTAAATGATCCTCATCGATTAGGACATCTGTAAAACATTCTGCGACTTAGAGATTCTTCAATATTTAATTAAGGATCAATATTTGTGATCAGTTAATATTAGTTTCCCAGTTTAACTTCATCATGCTGAAGAAAAAATCTTCCCACATATATAATTTGAAAAACTATCGAAAAAATTGGAAAGTTTTTGGAATTCAACAACTTAAAAAAACAACAGAATGTAAAGCTAAAACAGATAGACTTTATATTACATTTTCTGTATTACATTGCCGTATTTTGCATTTTTTGCATTCAAGGTATATAATTAAACGAACTTTTTCTATACACACCCAAAAAGCTTTCAGGATCAAAAACTAGGACATAAAATAACAATTTAAAAAATTTATTTCCTTTATACTTGCACATGTAGTCTACGTATTAAAGATCGAGAATAAAATTGTATTTCTCAAATATTATATTACTGCACTATGATTGCGTTCAACATTTGTGATCAATATTGTAAATTTGTATACCACAATTTTTAATGTATATCAGTGCATATAACCGAATTTATTATTATATTTTTACATTATTATATATTAGTAGTACTATTGTCTTTATGTTTAATTTGCATTATAATTTATTTTTATTATAATTTTCTAATAAAGCTTATGTCAGCCAAATGTCAATTTTAAATGTGTGATTTCAATCACGTATGTCTTGCACTCAATTTTTAATACGTAGACTGTTATAAGATTTATAGACGATCACAACCAAATCAAACCAAGCAAAAATTACAAAAAATATAAATGATTTGTTTTTTTTTTCCTTATCTGTAAACGGAATTTAAATATGTTGTCAAGAGAGCTGTTTTTCGATTAATTAACATATAATCAGAGTATGTGTTACTTGTTTCTTCAGAAATATCATTCCAAGATAGAGAGAGAGAATTCGAATCTTTCAAATATATCATCAAGATCGTCAAATTGATTTATTTATCACTGAGTTTCCTTCAATTGTCTGACGTATGATCGAAACACAGCTTATTTTTGTAGAATATTTACGAAAAATACCAAGAAGAATGTATTATTTGTCCATTTGTAGAACAAAAAATTGTTGTCGCTTCATCACTTCTTTTCTTTCTTTTTGCTTTATTGCTATTTTTCATTTTCCTCGTTTTTACTTTGCTCTAACTTTTTTTCATCACCTTTCTTTCTTTAGTCTAGGAAAACTAAATTATCATATTCCAGGGCAATCATCAATAGATGGAATGTCGATATGCAATTTAGACGGCTTTTGACCTTGATGGATGGGGAAGTCTGTACTATCGGCTTGAAGGAACGTATTGAGTACGACGGAAGCGCTCTTCGGCTCGCTAGGCACTTTCTTCAGGCCTCCATCTGTGGTATAGCCGATACCAAACAATCAGACAATGAATTACGTGCAAATCCAAAGCGTTAGCACAAGCTAGAGATTAATTTGCTTAGGATGTTATCAAGCTTTTAAGCTAAGTATTACATAACACGCCAGCTGGCAACTGGCATATTTATATAAAAATGTTAATCTTCTTCATTAAGTTATAGACGGAAGATTTCAAGTGTGTGTGGGTATTAGCATTAAATTCTACAGATAAATAAGTAAACATATGCTATATATATACACATCGAGATGTATATAATAAACACTATATATATAATACTAGATTAATTATCGAATATACTTAAAAAACTTATATCTCTCTCATGATAACCAAACATATTAACTGAAAGTGATAAATTGATTAATGTATATGATAAGTAATACAGATAAGATTTGTTTTGATGTAATAACTCGATGCTCATATCTCGGTAATTATCATAAATCAGATCTGTTTTGACATAACTTCTCGCGCGAAAACAGTTCTAAATTTTATCAATATTAAATCTATCACAATTATATTTGTATTTTTTTCTAGATCGTATCCTCATCATTCTTAACTCTCTATCTATAGAAAAATATTGTAATTTTATAAAAGTGTCTGTAAAATTGAGACTTTTCAATATTTTATATCTATAATAGCCTAATAGTTACAACTGCAAGAAACATAAATGTTTTAATATTAATGCACACGAAGAATTTGACATCTGGCACTACTCTGGGCATGTTTTGTGCTGAATTAATAAACCACAACAAGCATCTGAGGATAGCTATGTGGAAAAGCAGTTACGTCATTGCTTACCAGTTCCGTGACGTAAGTCATCCTGCACTCTATAGAACTCTGCAAGTTCCCTGCCCGAGCAAAGCGGAGTGTCAACTTGAGTAGTACCATTAAATAGCGAATAGTCCACTTCGTAACCTTGCCGCTCCTTCGAATAGCTCACCATAGGGTCAAAACGATGACCCCACAGAATCTCCTGTGGAAGATAACTTGATCTGGCCTGGGTAGTTTGTCCAGTAGATTCGATAGTACCTTCTAAGATCAGGACGACCTCGAAACGTTCGATTAACATATCCTCGGCAGACATATTATAGAAGGGCGAGGACTCATTAATCCGATGGATTATGATGGTCGGCCAGATGAAGAATAGATCGCCGTTTTCGCCATCAGTGCCTACCATCAGTTCTTGCTGATGTTGAGATAGAACTTCACCTTCTTTGGTCGTTTTGCTGCGAATCACCTGAGCACGAACGCTCGCACCGATTATGTGACTCTTTCGCATATCGCCCACTCGAAACATGAGACAGAGTTCACCATCTCGTTGACAGATCACGGCATTTCGCGAGAACAATAGAGTTTGAGTACGCTGCTTCGGTCTTGTCATCTTGGCAAATACGATGCCTACCTGCAATCATTACAATTTTATAAAATTGTAACTTTTTGAATTCGGTATTATTTTTTATACGCATCTAATATACTTTAAAAAAACTCACCATGAAAGCTTGAATCATGACACCAGAGATGCTTTGTATGCACATCACGAATATAGCCTCTGGACACTCTTCAGTAGTGGAGCGGCTGCCGTATCCAATAGTGTGCTGGGTCTCGATACTGAAGAGAAAGCAGCTGGTAAAGCTGAAGATATTGTAGACGCATGGCGTCCAGTTGTTCTCCACCTGAAAGGGTGGCAAGTGGCGTTCTTCGAAGTCACCGTGGGTGAAAGCGATTAGCCACCAAATCACCGCGAAGCCTAGCCATGATAGAAGGAAGCTCAAGATGAAGCACATAAGAGTCCAACGCCATTGCGTATCTACCAAGGTAGTGAAGATGTCTTGCAAGAAACGCAGCGATCGTCGGGAGATGCGCGATTGCAACACGTTGCAATCGCCATTCTTCAAGACGGCACGACGGCGTAGCTTCCGCGTCGGTCCAGCCCGATATCGGCTCCTGAAATACAGACTCGTTATATGATCTGTATTTAAACGGGATAATTTTTTTCTTCTCTCCTCTTCTCTCACCTTCTCAAAGTTAAAAATTGTTGAATAAAATTTAGAAGAATTTATGAATATGTAATACTTTGATATAACTTGATGTAAAATCGGTATTTGATTACACATTAGAGTATCTTTGTGACGTAATATTTCGTAAGACGTACTATAAATCAAGTTATGAAATGCAAAACGTAAAACCAATGCGCAATTTGCCAAGGTCGTAGCTTTCAATATGTAGATCACTGTTACGCTAAATGTGTAACGCAATAGAAAGATATGATTTGAATAATAAATCTCAAAGACACAAGTCATAAGCTTTTTGGTGCGTTTAAGTACGAGAAAAAAAAAGGTAAATTATTAAACATTAACATGCAAAAAATAACATAAATTATATATAATATATACGTGTATATATATCTAAACTATACACAAAATCCTAAAGTTTAAACAAAATCCACGAGAAACAATTTCGTACAAGAATAAAGAGAGTAAGCCATTTTTATTAGGTTAGAAGAAAAGTAATGTCGTTGTTACATTTTTACTTTTACTTTTTTTTTTCTTTCTAATAAAACATATTAAAGTCCTCTATTGAGAATACATTACTTTCCTTCCAATCTATTATTTCTGTAACACGAAACAATTTTTACAATTTTAGTCGCAAGCACAAAAATCATTAAATATTTATTCTAAAATTTCAAAAGATTAAATTCGTAATAAATGTTGAATAAATATTGGATAATTTTTAAAACCTATTCAGTCTGTTTGTAAGAACTTTGCTTATCACACACACACACACACACAACAGATAAATTAAATTTTAATGATTTATTTAATGGGAACGCATATTTACTCAATCTTAACACACACACACACACTCACCACGGATCTCTGCGCATTGTTCGTCATTGTTTCCTTTGACATGACGAATTTAAAAGTGTTTTAGAACAAAAGTCCCAATATGCTTCTTTATCGTATTATAAAGTCACTTGTTATCCGTCAATGTATTTTGCCCAACAATCACAATTATATATTAATTACACCAATTTTATCTCAACATATTATCACATACTTCATAATATATTTTCACATTAAAATTATATATTAATATTTTGATATAGAAAAAAATATATTTTATATTTTCACATAGGAATGTACGAATCACTTTTATATGTGAATTAACAATGTTGAAACATTAAACAAATAGCATTTATATGCATATTAATCTTCACATATAGCGATTTTATCATATTTAATTCCCATATAAAACGAACGAATTATTTGTATATTTAATCTCGATATAACAAACATTCCATCTTCATTTTCACAAATAAATTGTAATATATCAGCCTTCATGCAACAAACAAACTATAGCCGGAGGCTCGCTACTAGTTTGTGATATCACTGTTAGCGGTTCGACACTGCCGAGAAAGACTCTCCCGGGAGCCTCGTCTCCCTTTGTTAGCGCAAAAAGGAAGTCGCCATTTTGAATTTGAATGATAACTGAGCAGTAGTTATCTACCAATTTACTTATTACCACGCGTTAATCGGTCGCCGAGTCAGTGACAGCATCCCCTGCACTTCCGCCATCTCCTCCGGGTCCATGATACTCCCGATCAGCTGATTGTACACACGAGGTCAGTAATGTCTTGACATATAAATTTGAACGCATATAGAAAAACAAATTTAGGACGCGTAATTCGTTTCTAAATGTCCGCGTATCACATGGCTGTTAATTACTCAAGAAAAAAATAATAATTTTATTTACTGATATTAATAATAATAATATATTATATAAATAATATTAATATTAATATTAAAATAATGATTTGTTAAATTTTATTCTGCTAGAGTCACCGTTTCTTGAATAATTAACAATCATCATGCGTAAATATTGAGAGATGAAGCACGCATACCATATATGCCTCGATATGTATGCAAATTCATGTATACAGGGTCAGAAATGTCTTAACATATGTATTTACACGATTATCGAAGTATATTCAACGTGCAAGATTCGCTTTCAAATATTCTCATGTTATGTTTGCTAATTTTTGAAGAAACGAATAATAATTATGTTTAATTAATAAGTAATAAAAAATTTTATGTCAAAATAATAAATTTCTAATTAATAATTTTATTTTGTTTTGAAACATTGTTACTGTTTTTTTCAGTAATCAGCATTATAGACCTCATGTATGCAAACCTCTTTTAATATTTCTTGTCTCGAAATTTTCAAATTCTTTCGGAATTATTGAATTTTTGAATTGATGCTTTGCTTCACGTGGAATTATATAGAATTATCTAATCAATTTACGCTATAGACACGTGAAATTCCACTAATTATCTTAACATTCTTTTACAAATATAATGCGCGACCTCGAACGATCCGTCATTAAGACTGATCTCTAAGCCGCTTATCTAGTATCATGAGACATTGATAAGAGTAGTTAAAGAATAAACAAATAAAAGTAATTTCTGGAATGTCATTTGCGTTAGACTCTGAAATACTTTAAAATTATTTTTTTATTATTAGCATAAATCAGTAAGATTTTTCTCGTGATTGGTCATAACATGGCCAACACTTGTACAATACTGATAAGTTGATATCAGGAATGCAATGATCATCGTGTATTTTTTCACGCATACCGCATAATAATGATCGGAAATTATTTTATGCACAAGAACTGCAATCTTTTTAATTATTTTGTGCAAAAATTTAACAAAATATGATATATTCTCACAAGAAAAACAAAAAATACAAAAAATATGATATATTCACAAGTTTATTAATCAACGTCTTTCTGCTTCTAAGTTTTTCTCAACATGTTTTCTTATTGCTTATATATTAATCTCCAATGATACTATGATAGAATAGATATCTCGGATGATCTATTAATCATCGGATGAGCTGTTAATCATTACATATCATTGTGACTCCCACGAACAGATATGTAAAAAATAGGGATGTAGTATGCTATTTTATACTATCTCTAAATTGTATACCACATCTTTTGAATATATTCGCGGAAATTAATGAAAGAAATATTATTCAATTAGCTATTAATAAGAACAGCTTTTTGTTTCGGCTCGCCTTAAAACAGTTTTAATGTTTTATTACGATGAGATCAGAAGATAAGCGAAATTTAACGATTTTTTTTTAGTTCTTCTCATTAATCTTAGTAAACATTAATTTCTCGTTCTGAAGATACGCAAATATAATTTCACGTGTTAACATATTTAAAGAACGTTTTTGGAACATTTATTAATTTACCATACCATATATTTCTCAAGGCAAAAACTTGCGTAGCAACTTCACGATTGCTTTGACCTGAAAATATCGTTTGCTCGCTCATGACGCTTTCATCGCAATTTTTCATTACTTAACAATATAAGATATATAAAATATTCTAATTTCTATTTTTAGGTACATAAATTATTTAATTAAAATTTTTACGCATATACATAAATTAATTTTTAAAAAAATGTTCATGTATCTATATAATTTTGAATAAAAAAGACATATTTATCAAAAAAGAAATTTCTTTCCTTACATTTTGAAATTTCCATTTGTTCAAAATTTTTATTTGTTAAAAGTTGTTATTAAAGATAGAAAAATAATTCATTATTATTCACATAAAGTTATCCAGACTTATCTAGCAATTTACGCGACAGACACGTAAAATTCTACTAATTATCTTATTATTCTTTTGCGAGTGATTTAGCACGCGATCTCGATCGATTCGTCATTAAGACTGATCTCTAATCTTTGACTCCATTTAAATGAAATTCCCTTTACCTGTTCTTCAGAGAAGAATACGAGTCCTTCGTCATTTGCACAATTATTGGCATCGTCGGCGTGGTTGGTGTTATCAATTTTTGTTCTTCTCCGCAATCCGGAGATGGGGATTTGTCGCCCGTCTTCAACACATTGCCATTCATCCCGTTCATCTTGACTCACTATATATATCGCGATGCGCAATGCTATTCTTAATACTGAATTGCTATTGTCAATATTTTTCAATATTGCAATCTTCACCCTCAATCGTTATTTTTTCACTCTTTTCTATCAAACTTGTCTTTGTTTCTGCAAAAATATTTTGTATGGTCCATTGAAACTGATCCACTTTCCTCAATTGTCGAGTTTTTATCCTGACTAAAGATTTTTTTAATCGGTCCTTTAATCTAATAACAAAATTATTGATGAATAAATTTTCAGTATTTGTTTTTTTTTTTATGAAAAAATTTAGTTTTTTTAAAGGATTTTTTTCACTTTCTATAAACAATGACGAGTTCTCACTGGATTGAAAAACTTTTACCCTTTTAGAGATTCTTTTTTAATCACTTTTATCTAAGGATAAACTTAAAATTGATAATTAGATCTTCAATATTTTAACATATTTTTCTATAAATCTCTCTTTTTACCAAGATGTATGTATATCAGAAGTTTTCCGTAGATTCACTTTTACACTTATGTGATCTTTATATTTTAAACGTAATTCTTTAATTATAAAAATTCTACATTTTTTAATTAGTTCTTATAATCTGCGACGTACTCGTCGATAAATGGATCTTTTAAGAGGATTCGATGGAATTTGATCAGCTGGACGATGCGCGACGATTGACAGAAGGCAGATGGTGATGCAGAATATACTACTGCAAGATAGACTGCTATAAGCAGTTGGTCAAACATCTACAACGTCTTACACGCGCGCTGACCATCGGACGCAGTTTATCACTCGCTAACAAATGCCGTTTGTTCTTCCTATTCTCGCGCAGAAAAGGTGATCACTCGCGTCTGTTGCGTCATTCGCGCGATAAACAGATGATCGCTCCTACTTTTGGCAAATCCACGCTCTCGATAATAAAGCAAAGTCACGATATAATAGTCACATGATACAGATAGCAGTCATTTATTCTACAATGTGTCAGATGAACCGAAGTAGCACAGTATATTTGAAATTGTATATGAACTTTCATATTTCTCAATAATTTCCATGTTATAGAACATTTTTATAAGAATAATCTCTGATATGTACAGGAAAAATAATAAATATAAAATCAATAACATATAAATTTATATATGATTTACCATGAGTACTTTTTTATCTCATTTTATCAAATTTAATTTGTCCTAAAGATGAGATGCGAAAATTACTCTTTTAATTATTTTTTTAATTATTCTTTGTATTATTTCTCCTATATGAAAAGAGAACATACAAAAAGGTTTTTTTCTACCTTTATAACTTTTAATTTATTTTTATTCTTATTTTGCATAATAAACAGATTAGAAAAATTATTATAAATACAAGTAATATCAGAAATCTTATAACTTTGTTTTACCAAAGAATGTGTGTGTGCGGGGCGCATATAAACAGTTTAAATAATTGATTTGATATTCACAATTTATTATTTACTAAAAATTAATTTGATATTATTTGCTACTTGAAACTTCAGAAATATATCACAATTGTTTAATGATCATTGAAATTTTAAAATCGAAACGGATGATCACGATTAATAAAAAAAACCAAAAACGACGAGAACGACTACGCGATCTATGCTCGATTCTCGTTTGACTGACTGACTGACATCGCATACTTTTTATCAGCGCCTTGGCATCTCGTTATCAGAATCCGACTGGCTGCTGAAGTTGCGCTGATGTACGCAAAATGTGTCAGACAAGAGACTATCTCTTATTTGACGGAAAAATACATTTTGTTAAGCTATGATAAAAAAACTATACATACATATATATATATGTAT